CCCCAAAACCCCAAAACCCCAAAACCCCTAGATACCATATTTTACTTTAAGCGAAGAACATATATAAAATAATTAAAGTAAACTCAATGGATCAACAAAATTAATATAACCTTGGGCGGTAAAGTTCAAATCAATCACTGGTTGACAATAACAGGGGCTTAAGTAAAATAATAGAGGAGTTTCTTCATGATCTACCTAATGTTGCTGGTAACTATAATCCTTACTTGATTTGTTAACATAGATTAACCAAACTGGGCAAGCAACTATTACCCTATCTGTGATTCATATTTAATATTGTTCAGGAACTAACTCTACTTCTATTTCATGGAATAGGAAATGGTTAGTACTAAGCTAGATTTATAATTTGTATAGAAAATCAAGATAGATTTGGATCCTAGCATCGAAGTTTAATCATCTTAAAATGTCTTCTTATTGAGGATGAAGTCTGGAAATGACTAATTAGGTGCCTTTTTTGTGATTGCTTTTGGACTAAATAACTATGCAGCTTATTAAATGGAGATCATGTAGAATGAATTCAAGACTTCACTCTTAGTTAGCAAGAGCTACCAGCTCATTCAGCCTGCTGATCAGAGAGGTGTAATGACGGTTGCCAGATTTTACGGTCATAATGTATACTAAGCTCCTAACTCAAGACTCATTGAATACGAATTTGAGTTTTTGCTCGGAACTGCTTCTTAGCAAAGAGTGACAAAACTAAGATTTAATTTAGTCTCTGACCCTTCCTTAAACTTTGGCTTAGATCCATAGAAGCTTGAGTTTTAAGCCAGTGAGTATGAGTATTTTGAGCCTGAGAAAGGAATTAGATCTAGAATATCAAGCTTTTTCAGCAAAATAGTCAGTAGCCAGTAAGAACAAGAAATACAATAGATAGTTAAGGATATTCTTGTTACTGAATACCTAATTTTCATAATAACAAGCAAAGAAATCATAACAATAGGCAAAGAGTCTGGAAAGAGATTCCAAGAGGAGGACTATGTAAAGTTAATTAGACAGTATGATGAGTATGAGAACTCTAAAATCAATAATTTATCATTCAGAGAGATTAAGAGTTTGCAATTCGTGGCTGCAGATTGCACCATTACTTCTGACTAAAGAGTATACCTAAACTTGTTTGTTGAGAAGAGACAAGTAGTATAGTATACTACTAGCTACTAATACATTCCTTAGACTCATCTAATTCAAATTACTTAATGCTTTGCAGTTAGTGAATCACAGGTAGTGAGAGACAGAGATGATGTTTACTAATAGATAGACTTATCAAATCATTCTAACGGAGGTTAAATATCTAGAGGTTTTTCTTGTTCAGTTCCATCTGGTATCGACAATAGAATTCTAGTTTTCCTAGAATTTGAAAACACTAAATCTCTAGTCGTTGAGCTCTCTTCCAATGAAAAACTTAATAATCAGAGTGTATTTCCAGAAAAAAGACTTGTTGGCTACAATGTAGATGTTAGAGATATCTTGAAAAATTATTAAGAAGTGAAGGTCATAACTTCAAGAAACGTAGTTATGTTTGAGATAGATGCTAAATCTTATGAAGACTTCTCAAATCTGAAATATATAAGCTTAAAGGATAGTCAGCAGTAGCCACTACTTAATGAATAAAAATTCTAGAAGGAAGGTCCGAGAATTAGCATTGCTAGCTAGGAGGATTTAAAGAAGCTATGCTATGGTGTTCTCGATAAAATTGCAAATATTGAGCTTAATCAAAGATAGGTAGAAGAAAGAGAGTAAAAGCTTTCAGCAGTGAGAGATGAAATAAATGATGTATTATAATAAGTCTCAGAAAATGATTTCAAAATTGCATTCAGTTAGATACTATAAGAATCTATAGATTAAAGAATAAATGACCAGCACTTTAATGTCAACTAGCCATCACAAGAGGATTTGATACTCCACACTCTCAATAATTCTTTAATCTAGGCAAGTCTGAAGATGAAGCAAAACAAATTGAAAGTCTTAAATACCTTCTACAGCTAGTTGATATTATTACTAAGAGAATTAGATGCTCCGCTTCGTCCCTTTGAGCAACTGGAGGATCAAATTAACCAATGTGAGGTATCCTTAACTACTGCCTCTTAATTCAAAAAATACTGGGATAGACTGTTAGAATAAAGAGTACAGAGATCGATAACCTATAAAAATGAGGAAATTAGTCTTGAAATCAGAATGATATTTGCTGCACTGCAACACACCGCTGAAACTCAGTTTGGGCTATCATAAGAAATCATAAGATCAATGAGCACTTCTTCTGAGAAGATAGTTTTTAGTTCTATTGGGAAATTTGAATAGCTTTTACAAAGCCTTATAGATTTAAGCATTGATGTTACAATTCAACACAAGATTAAAAGATTGCAACAAGAGAACTAAGATGAGATATTGTTCAATGGCTCAAATATAATCTACCATGTGGTCAACAACACTATCCAAGAATTATCAAATGTGCAAAGAGCAAGCCAAATGACCTATCTCTAATCAGAAGTATTCTACGAGAAACTATTCGATCTTTGCACAGGACTTAGAGGATCAGTGGTAAATAAAAACAGACCTTATTCTGATCTGCTTAAGAATCTGAGTTATCTTTTGCTTGACATTATAAGGGATTTGAATCCTTTAGCCACCAATATTCTGTAATACTACAGAGACAAGCTAATTGACTACGTAGATGAGAGTTCTTAGAATCCTTAAGATGCAGTAGATATGGCTATAAAGTATGATGGACAATAAAAGCTATGTGAACTTATTTACAGAAGAGACAAGAGCTTCTACCCGCAGCTACTTAATCAGCTTTAAAGAAGGCCATAATATATCAGTCAAGCAATTGCAATAATATATGATCTTGATAAAAATGCAGTTTACCAAAGCACTATAAATCAAGAATAAGTATAACACTTCTAATGTATCGTAGAGAAAAATACATATGCTGGCTTCAAGCTGTTTGATATCTTTGAAGGATTCTTACCAGCCTAAAAGCCTTTGGTAGATTTCTTGACTGTCACTAATAAAAGAATCCTGGCTCTATTCTTACTAAGAAATGGGAAAAATTTATAATCTTAGGAGCTATTGAAGGATATGCTGCCAAGAACTAAATTCATAGATACATTGAGAGTATTCTCTAGTCTATCTAAAGCAAACATTCAAATTTTAGAGGGAAACTACTCTGCAGCTAAAGAAAATCCAGAATACAAAGAGAATGAAGCAGTATTTATATAAAGTCAAAGTTAGTACGAGATTTATGAATAAACGAGAATTGAGGAGTAAAAGTTCAACATGTCTCCAATAATAAACTAAGATGATTAGAATATTAAGCCAACCAATGTGGATTTATTGTCAAAAGCAATTATTATTGAGTAGAATAAGAGAGGCAAGATGGATATTGAATAGTTTGTCACTGTATTTAAGCTTTTGCATTCGTCGTTGATGATAGGAAGTATTGAAGACCCAGATGGATGCATATTACACCTCTGGAATAAAGTAGTAGAAAGCGATAATGATTAAATTCAAAAGATTTAAGGGATGCTCCCGGTTTCTAATTACAGTCAGGTGTTTACCGACTTCCAAATAGAATGTGAAATTAAGACCACTAAACTCTACGAATTAGCAAGAAAAATAGAAAACTACCCAGAGGAATTTAGATCAGATCTATAGCTTCACAAGATATTAAGATAGAAGTTGATGGAGTATAATCCAGAATTAGAAAGAGGGCTTAGCTTTATATATTAGATTATTGATACGGATAGTCATTCTCAAATTTTCAGTAAAATGGATGATAATTTTAGTATTGGAAGGACTGCTTAATCTTAGTCTTTATTTGGCTCCTAAATGATGATGTGATTAAAAACAATCGTTTAAATACGTAGCGATGATGATTATAAATCACCCTCTTTCAATTAATATTGATTTAAATTTCTTAAGAAATATTGATGAGAATACTTATAGAATCGTGGGGTTTTGGGGTTTTGGGGTTTTGGGGTTTTGGGG